GGCCTCGGTGTTTCTCCCAGCCCAGTATTGTTTCTGAAAACTGACTTCTCTTTGGCACAGACCATCAATCGCAAGATGTACAAGTTTAAAAAACAACAACATAAAAACCGTTAAAAAAAAAAAATCACAGGTTTAAATGGCGGTAGTAGGCCATGTGCTGTATACTTTCATGTTCTTGTAAGGTAGTGTCAATATCTAGAAGTCACAGACGGCGTTAACAAGCACCTTTGCTTTTAACGCCGGCCTTTTCTGTAGGCAGTGTGGGGTTCCTGGGCGCTTGGCCCCAGGTGGTGTGGACCGCCTGAGCCCTTACCTCGATAATTTCTCGCACTTCACTCTCCTTTTCCAGCTTCTCCAGCTTCAGGTGCGCCGTGCCCACCGGCTTATCGCTTCTCAGGAAGCCACTGTGGAACACGGATTCGGACACTGTTGTCTAGACTCAGCAAGTCCTTTTGCACACCCCACCCGCAAGAGTAAGGAGCAAAGGCAACGACTGACGGAGCACCAGAAAAGACAGCTGAAAAGGTCCAGCAGACACGGATTACTGCGCACAAAGGATCAGGATCTGAGGAAGGCCTAGTGGCACAGCCGTTAGCAGCACTGGGGCCCTGGGTTCAATTCCTGACCTATCTGAGTGGAGTTTGCATGTTCTCCCCATGCTCGCACTGGTTTCCACTGGGGGCTCTGTTTTCCCCCCACAGTCCAAAGACATGCTGGTAGGTTGATGGGCTTCTGGGAAGACTGGCCCTTGTGTGAGTTTGTGCCCTGCAATGGACTGGCGTCCCACCCACAGTGTACCCTGCCTTGCACTGTCCCTGAATTAGATGAAGCCGTTAGAAAATGGATGGAAGGGTCTAAAGAACGCCAGACAGCTCACTATGACCTGCTCAGCGCCTGGTGTGGAGCACTAAAATTATTTGTGCAAGCACAGCGGACATAGGATTGTATTGCAGGTGGGGAAAAAGAGAAGACAAAGCAAGTGAAATGAAGACGGACTCGGCATAAATCTCCTTCCCCCCCCCCCAGTGTGAAATGAAAGAGAGTAGACGAACCCAGAGAAGCACCCTAAAGTGCAGCAGTCCAACACACCCGTACCAAGCCATGTGCAAGCAGGGGGTTCGGTAGCACCACTGGAGACAGCTGGAAAAAAACAGTTCTCTTTCTTTCCAAACATTCAAATCGTTGAGGGTGCAAAGATAAAAGCTGAAGAGCTCACCCTTTGTGGAACACCTCCAGCTTCAGGCCTTTGGACTGAATGGCTCTCCTGAAGCCCCTGTGGTTCCTGTTAATGCTGAGCTTGAAACTCTGGTTGTACTCTGGGGGGGAAAAAAGGCACAAGCTGGTGAGCCTCGTGCTGCCTGATCTCCGCAAGTCCGATTTCCCAAGCCAGTTCGGACTTCGGAGTAGGCATGGTGTCCAAAATGTGCGAGTGGCGATTCCCCTCTCTGATAAGTAATCTTTGTTTCTTATTTCACTGGCTATCCCTGTCACACCTAGCTCATTACTGATCACGAGAATAATTATGATTAGGGTTCCAGACCGCGACATCTAGATCACAGACGTCAACATGAGCAAAACAACAAGCACCTTAACAGGCCGAGCCCGACGGAAACCTCAGCTTTTTCCAAACAACTGTGTTTCACCACTCTAGACAGGGACTGAGCAAGAACACAAACACATACCCGGACAGTTAGTATTCTTGATCACTGCTGTTTTATGCTTCTGTGCTTGTTCCTGCGAGGACAAGAAACAGGTATGAGCACAACCTAAAAGCACCTTCTTCCCATCTCCCCAATAAAAAGGACAAAAATAATACTTTTGAAGAAAAGTACTTCAATAGCATCTCCATAAGTCTTAATCCAAATGCAAAGATGCTCACCACACTGGGATAGGGGAATTCAAATTTCACGTATGCATCTAGATCATTTGGCACTACACCTGGGGGAAGAGCAGAAAGACCATGACGTTTTCACACCCATGTGATCTCAGACCACAACAACAACTAAAATCACAAGAAGCCTTCGTAGAACAGGAAAGAGAACCATTAACCCCAGCTCTCTTCAGCTTGGTCTTGTACCACAGTCACTCAAGGTGACCCTGCACGTCTTAAGCATCCATGTAGAAAACATTTTTTAATGGAATTAACAGTGAAACGTCTTCCCAATAAAAAGGATGAAAAACTGCAAGAGTCAGCGAAGTAATTCAGCGCCAGTAGCTCCTGTGGAACAAACAGCGTGTATTGGTTGGATCTGGTCTCATACCTTGAGGCGCAGGCAGATTGATTCCTTTAGCAATGATTACTACCATCTCCGTGCTGCTGAGCTCTGGGAAAATCCTTGACAAAAGGAGAGAGAAGGAATATTTGGGTCAGCTGAAGGCTCTCCCTTCAACTAAAATAGGCCAGACTGGAGCACTGGAAGTGGTGGCTGGAACAAAACCCAGCACACACCTCATGACCAGGGTTAGGGATCGTCGTCCCCTGCCCTTAAACGGAAGATGTGCAGAATGACAACTAAAAGAGTGACCAACACAGTTTTATGTGTTGATCAAGTGTTTTATGCTTTAAGCATAAAACACCTTGGCAAATTTCTTAGCCGGTAAAAAGTTTTGATTTTTATATCATGCACACATTAAACTCTTTCTTTTGGTATAAAAAAATTCACAATCTACACATAAGCTTTACTTTCACATGCATAACCCCCACCCTGCAACTCCGAGTGTATCATTTGAAATAGTCTGCAGTCCTACTGATGATGGGCCTACCGCATGGTTTTGTATGTCCTCTCCTCAAAATGGTGTTTGGGAGGATCCAGACCTTGGCTCTGGGACAGTTTTAGGATTTCCAGGCTCTTCTTACAGCTTTCTGCCATCTTTTCAAACCTAAAAATTGAAGGAATCACAGTGAACTACAAGTGTAAGAGAAACCATTGGGCTCCTCTAACATCCAAGTGTCAGGCAGATCTGTGCCAGGGCTGACCTTTCAGCAGCACTTACAATTACAGTGCTCTTACAGTCCCAAACGAGTCCCAGGCAGAACGAAATCAGAAAACAAAACGGTAAAACATCTTAAAAAGTCTACAGTATCCAAATGAAAGCAAACTTTCATAATGTTAATGAGAGCAAAAATGATACTAAAACCATGTTTAAAGGGTAGGTTATAGTGAATGGAAAAGAGAAAAATACTACTATTAACGGGACTTAATTGAAATATGAAGCATTTACCCTTGAAATAATGAAATTCATTTGCTAAAACGGTCAGTGGCACAAGGACAAAAGCACAGATAGACACTTGGCTATACCGAAGCATTGTGTCGCCTCTCGTCTAAGGAGATGGGCAGCTGTATTCTCGCTTGCCCAGAGGATTTAGAATAAAAGCTAAACTTAAGCATCAACAGGACTGCCACTCTGACAGGAGCCAGCATGCCTGCTAAGCGCTGCAGCTCTCCCTGGCACTGCAGAGAGCACACACGCACTGTGCAGTTAAGCCCACTCTGCGCTGAGGGCGGGGGGGGGCAGTGCCGGTCCTGGGGGGCCCGCGTGTCTGCAGGTGAACAAGCTCAATCAGCTCACTGCTGGCTGAGTGGCACAACTGTAAGAACTTCTCCCAGCTGTCCTGGTACTGCAGGACTGAACCCCCCCGTTCTAGAGCGCAGTGGTGCCTCCTTCGTGAAGGACGACAAACACTCACGTTGTCTTTCTGTCCTCACGATAACCTCCTGTTTTATTTACTATTCTACACTCAACACAGGGGCTGAAAAACGGCTTTGACATCTATAGATTTGACCACCATGCCCTGCGGTATCTGCTACACCGTGGGGCGACAGCGCCTTGTGTTCCTGCGCAGCCCCGACACCGCTGGGAGAGCCCTGTCCTCTGATCAGTGACCTCTTAAGCCAGCAAAAGGGGGAACTGAGGCAAATGGCCTCATGTGGTTTGCAAACCTCCTTGTGTTCTCAAGTCAGTTTGGAGGCACACACCGAACGGAAATGATCCACTTACTTTGTAGTTTCTGTTATATTCCCAAGATGAGTAAACTGCTTCGAATAAGCAATGCATTTCTGTAAAAGAACACAGGACAAGCGAGAGTCAGAGCAGAGGACTGAGTAGGGAACTGCATCCAATTTGTGAACTGAACTATTTATGCGGTTTACTACAGGCACAATTTAGAAAAAAAAGCAATTCCAACTCAGAGCTTACTGGGCTTAGCCTTTCTACTCTAAAAATGACACGAACTGAAGTGTCACTTCATGGATAAAGAAACAGTGGACCAGTGTGTGGGTCACTGCTAGGTTCAGTCACCTCGTACTGTTCCTTCAGAATCTTGGCGAGCTGACTGTAAACCTCCTCAGCTCTCTCCGAGAGCTGGACGTCACTGTGATGGACTAAGATGAAGTCCTCGTCTTCGTCACCGGGGGGAGATGGCACCTGAAAAGAGAACAGCAAGACTCTATAAAGAAGCCTGTATATTACCCATGGAGCTTTTCCACCCCAAGCACTTTTACAAATCAGGAGAAGCTCCACCTTAGCGACGCACAGCAGCCAGCCAGAGATGTCAGAAACGGCTTCGCCAACTAAATTAAGGAACGGCTTTAGGGAGGCCATGATAGAAGTGTACCTGAGCCACCTCTATTTATTTGAAAAAAACAAAAAACGAAAACGGGGTCTCTGCAATGGCCACCATGCAGGGATACTGGCTTGAAATTCTGGTCTACTGGAGAAAGAGCACCACCTAGTGGTCATCAACAAGACTTACAGCAGCAGCCTGTTTCTTTTTCTGGAGGCATCCCATCCCAGCAATGAGGAGGCCCAGCCTTGCTTCGCTTCCAAGAGTTGACAAGATCCAGGTGGAGGAGCTAACACTGGTGCTTTACGACAATCTGTGGCTTCAGCACACCTCTTAAGCCACTCATATATACTCTGTATAACAAACACTAAGCCTGCAGAATGATATTTTATCACAACGACCTACAAAGCATTCAATAAGCGTATGTACATGCAAGTAATGTGTGCTTACTGACAGCAGGAAAAGACTGATCACCTAACATGCCAACTTCCTGTGGGCATAAGACTCCGTCAGCATGTGATGTATTATTAAGGTTTGTCGTTTTTATCACAATTGCTGCGATGTGAAAGACTGCGCCGAGTTCCATGTGGATTTGTGCCCCCTGCGCCCCTGGCCCGTGTCTGCAGGGTCCGGCGGCTTGAGGGTACCTTGGTTATGTCGACCGATTTCCCGCTCCTGGCTGCCTCGATCATGGGCTCGAAGACCTTGGCGGTTCTCAGGAAGTGCCTGGCCTGCTCCAGGTCGTTCTTCTGCTTGGCCTGAAGAGCGGCCTTCATGTACTGCTTCCTGCGGCTCTCCAGGAAGTCCAGCTGCTGCTGAGCTGTGGAGGACAGGGAGGGGGGACGGAATCAGGGACCGTTCCCGGCAAGGAACAGGGCACCCTTACCACCATCGCTCGACAGGGCAGCCGATGCACACTTTAAGCATCGTTGCAAAAAAAAAAAGATTTGTTTAAATGCTAACTGAGTGAAGAGTGTCTTGGCAGCACAAGGTGACGTGCTGCTGTTCAGGGAGGTACCTGCGTGACTGAGCCCCGCTGTCGAGACACGTTTCTCTGGCAAAGGGGACGGAGTCTTGGGACCCTGCATTGTGGGCGGCACTGCCAGCATCGGCTTTTTGGGCTTCTGAGGGACGGAGGAAGACTGCTTGACCTGCCATAGGGAGGGAGAGAGAGAGAGACACGAAGTGAGCACAGCAGACAATTCAAAATTCCCCCCTTTCGCGAACGTTCAAAGAAGAAGCAATTTGCTGATGGAGAGCCTTGAGCCTCTAAAAGCTGCTGTCTATCCTCAAGCTTTTCAAACACCTTCAACAGGAAGAACACAAAAGGCGGCTTACCCTGCATTTTAAAACCAAACATTAGATGAACGCAGTCGAAAGGGGCACGAGCAGATAAATTCGGGATAAATTCTCAATGCCATGGTCTCGAAATGTAATCTGATGAGCGGAAACGCACTTGAAGAAGCATGACTTCCTGTGCCTCGGCCTAGACAGAGGCAGCCAGACTCAGGCCATTCTACCAGCTAATCGAAGGAGACGCCGCCGCCCACAACCTCATGCTCTTCATCCTCTGCGCCGTCATCGTCCTCCCCCTCCTGGTTCTCGTCGGCAGTCAGCCTGGAGGCTGCCTCCAGCGCGGCCGCGATGCCCTTGTCCGCTCCGGCCCCCTCCAGCCCCGGGATCGGGGGGAAACCTGCAGGGAGAAATAAAAGGCACCCCTCACACAGACGAGCCGCACCCCGGCCTGGCCCGAGACAAGAGACGCAATGGGAGCGTCCAACTTTTCCCCCCATGAGATCTCGCAGGCGTATGCACGGCCCTTCGCAGCACCGTCTTCAATCGATCGCATGACGAAGCAGCGTTCAGCTGCTCAAAATACCTCTCAGTGCCTTCTACCAGCTGCCTGGGAGGAGCTGGCTGTGGTCGAGTTACCTACCTGGTGGGACTGGCAACTCCTCAAGGCTGACTGGCCTCCCTGCTTTGTGCGCTCGGATGGCGCTCTGGTATTGCTGCATGGAGACAGAAGAGGGCAGAAGATCTAATGAAGTCAATATGTGAATTGGCTATATTACTCTGCTCTCCTCCCCACTGATAGCTGGTGTGTGGGGAGCGTTCTGGAGCACTATGGCTGCCATCGCATCATCCAGGTGGGGCTGCACACTGGTGGTGGTGGAGGGGAGTCCCCATTACCTGTAAAGTGCTTTGAGTGGAGTGTCACGAAAAGCGCTATATAAGTGTAAGCAATTATTATTATTATTAACTCCTCCAGTCTCGCCACCGCCCTCTCCCTCCAATTCACACCACCGGCGCTCTCACCTTGGCGATGCGGTCATGCATCCTGGCTTTGCGGTCGTCTCCGCTCTGCTTGGCCTGAGCGCACGCCTCCTTATACTTGGCCATCCTCTGTTCCAAAGCCTCCAGCACGCTTCTGGGCTGGGGAGGTGCAGCTGAGAAGGAGCAGGAATTTTTGTACTGAATTTCTTGTCTTCGACTGATCGCACAACGAAACAGCATCCCGAAGACAGGAGACAGGAGAGATCTCCTGTAAACCTTCTCTTAATGGAAATATGAAGGATCATTTGAACCAACGTTTTAAGTTCTGTGCCCTTCTCAGGACTGATAAGAGAAAAGCTGAATTCTCCTTCACCTGGTGGTACTGATGTGCTGTCTGCTGCCTGCAAAGAGCGATTCTCCTCAACAGCGCCACCCGTCTTCTGCGAAGGGGAAGGCTCTTTCAATTTCACTTCTGCAGCTGAAACACAGAGTAACCTGGTCACTAAAATAAACACAGAACACAGAGACTGCATCGATAAAAAGCGGCGAGCCCTGTAACTACTGATTTTCCTGCCGACTCAATCACTTTGGTCGATTCACAGGGTTACAACACATGGGCATTTACATAACTATTCAACTGCATTAAAAAGCAGAACTGCCTCCTGAATTATGCGTGAAAGCATCCTTCAGAAGCTGTGATTCTAAAACATGGAGGCCAGAAAGGGGTAAAATAGTACACAACAAAGCAAACCAAAACTGCTCCTATCTAAAAAAAAACTCAACGTCTACATTCTTACAACAATATCCGTCACCAGCCATAAACTTGGATGGATCCAAATGATGTCACCCATTTCATTAGAATTTGCAGACTGGAGTCTCTTCGGGCCCGCAGAAGCAAAGCTGTAATCTTGGAGCTGATTCACCTTAGCTCTGCAGGCATCTCTTGCTCTGTCCTGACCCGGTTCTGGTGCCGACTCTTACCTCCAGGCGGGGGGGGCATCTGGCTCAGATCCACGGGCTGACCGCTCTCCAGAGCTTCCAGCACCACGTCAAACTTCTGTTTCCCCGAACACAAAGCAGAGAGAGGTGCTCGTTTAACCACTGGGCTGAGCAGGTAAAAAGATCTGGAGGATCAGTCCCCACCCACGACAACTCATTGCAAACAAAAAAATGCACCTGTCCAAAATGGCATTACAACAACACAACATTTTCAGGTTTTTTGTGTTGCCACTTAACAACAGATGCTTTAAAAGAAGATTAATTTCTATAACCTGTTCCAAACAAGAAGTTAAAATCCCTTATATGACCTTCAATCAACATAAAGACCAAATCTGTGACAAGAGACATGCTATTCTGAATTAGTTTAATAGTCAGTTACATGGACAGCATTGTCCTGCGACTAACGTGCTGCAGCACAGATTACGCATGTGTTCCAATAAAGAAAAAAGCCTGTGAATGTTTTTTGCTAGATATGTAAAACACGATACATAGACCTCCTTTCAAAGGAAATAATTTTAACCCTGCAGGACTTGTGTGTCAATAAACCTTAGGATACCCTGCAAAGTTCCTACTTCCTTCATTGAGAAACACCACACTGGCTTTCCTGCGATGCCCTTTCTGCATCAACAACATTCCTCTCCCTTACCATGCGTATATCTTATCTGCTCCAGCCCTTGACAATCACAAGCGCTTCTGCCAGACAAAATATCATTTCAAAACCCCCCGAGATCTTCCTCGCCCCCCCAGGCCGCTGGTTCACCTTGAGCGTCCTCATGTACTGCCTGGCTCGGTCCAGGTCTCCCTCTTGCTTTGCCTTAACCGCTGCGATTTTATACTCCCTCTGCCTCCCCTGCAGCAGCGCCTTGGTGGACTCCTGGTCCGGCCCTGTCAATGTGAAAAATCAAACAAAGGCCAAAAAATAAATACAACGGTTCCATCAGAGGCGTCCACACAAGACCACAGCAAGAGGACGCTTACTCTGCGCGTGTGTGACTGACCTCTGGGCAATCTGGGTTCATTTCATTTCAAACTACTTGCTTTTTTACGGCATTACTTGGACTGTGCTCACGTGCGCAGATCACACATCAAACCTCACCGGCAGCTGCATCTCGGCCCCTCTCCTCCCCTTCCTCCGGGGCGGCCGAGGGTGTGGTCTCGGGTGCTGTCCCAGGATGCTCGGCGGGCGCCTCGGCGTGCTCGGGAACGGCATCGGACACGAGCTCTGGCACTGCTGCCGGCGCCGCTATGCCGCGGGCTGACGGTTTCCCGCTGGCTACCGGTGGCGGTATTTCTGCTTCATTTATCTGGTTTCCTTTCCGCACAGATGCTAGCATTGTCTGCAGGGTCTAAGTTAAAAAAAAAAACACCAGCCGCCTCTCATTTATAAGAATTAAGAAGACCACGTTCTATTCAACAACACAGTTTGCTAGAAGCTGCAACCAGCCTGTAAAACTACAACTACACAGCTGCTATAAAAACTGAAATAATTTATGAGCTAATCATTGCACACCTGCTATGGAATTGGAGGCGTACAATATCTCCTCTATACTTCTCAGCTCTTAGCAAGTGTATCAAGGTCAAGACGTGCTTTCACTCGGTTTAGCTCAGAAAGACTCAGTCTGGGCATGAATGACTCCTTTCCCTTCTGCCCTTGACTTTCCAATGGTCCCTGGCCTTCTTATCCGGCTGCGTGCACTTTAGTTTCACGTCAAGCACAGCACGCACGTGCTCCGACTTCCACTCTCCTCTTCGCCCAACCTACCTTCAGGCCCCTTTCGTATCTCCGAGCTTTGGAGGAGTCACCCGCGGACTTGGCATTGCTAATCGCAGCCTGGTACATTTCTATTCTTTCTTCTAAGGTGTGCTCTACACTACCAGGCACTGCAGGCACTTTAGCTACCTGTAACACAACGCAGACAAGAGAGAGCATTCACATCGGTGCGTGTATTTCTGTACAAGCCTCCACATGTCCTCAGTCTCCTGAATTACATACTACTTATTATTTAACAACAGCGTGCCCTCATTTCGTTATAGAAAACAAACAGAAATGAACATTATCCGAACAAACGTTTTCAAAATACTTTGTTTCGCTCCTTCACTGCTTTCAGTTCAGAGAAACCTACATCATTACACTATAACTTGGCAGGTGAAACCACTGTTATCAGTCAAGTCTCCTCCATCTTAACATCCAAACTGCTCTCTGTCACACAGCCCATGTAAACACTGCAATGCTGATCTCGAGTCAAGAATTACTAGGTACATTCTGAGGCTTGAGGGATTGTCCTACAGTTAATACAACCACATCAATTCAGCCTAAAAAGAGAAAAGACTACGAGAGGTCCCGAGTCAGGCATTCAATACCCAAACCCTAAAAAAAGCACTAACAGCTTCGATCCAATGGACTTGTTCAAGGTCAACATTGCAGCCCAAGCCAGAGTAAACAAGCAGAAGCCTGGGTGGGCGAGATGCATTTAGGACTGAGAACAGGAGGCACTTCAGTACACAGAGGGATACAGGAGTCTGGAAGCTGTTGAAGCCGATACTCTGGCTTCTTTCTGGAAAGGGCTGGACGACGTCCTCAACATCGGTCATATACATGTAATCAGATGAACGAGACAGCGCTTGCTCACAAGCTCCCCCCCTTTGTGTCCTTATGCCTACGCCCACCGCAAAAGAGAAAGCAAATGTCAAATGCAAAAGGGAAACTGCAGGTCAGATGGGCAACACAACAAGGAGGCCTTTCATTCGGATGGCCTTGCTGGGAGAAGGGCAGGAAACATCGGCAGCATTTTCCATTCCCAACATCCTCCATCCTCCCACTCTTTCTCCACTTTCAAGGTGGACATTTATGATCCATGTGCCAAAACAAATCATAGGAAAACTACCGCAGGTTCCCTACACGGGGACTAAAAGATCAAACAAACTGGTTGGTCTTAGGAAGCCTCTGTGTTCTTTTTCTGGCTTTCGTCTCGGCTCTTTCCTACTGCAGAAATAACCCGAATGACCAAGTGCGTTTGGAATTTACAGTGAGCTGCCCAGCCCATTCTGTTACTAAAGCTGCTTTCTGTGTAGAATAATGCTTACACTCAAGCTGGAACTGGGACAGCCACTGTTTTCGCTTGCTGGCGAGAGATGTTTAACGTCTGACTGGAATACAAAAGTCTTTGGCAAGAACAAAATTAACTGGAGCAGGCACGGCAAAAAGCTACGTGGACAATCTACAGTCGTACATGCAGACCGACTTGGTTGGCAGTAAACTGTAACAGCGTTTCACTGTCATAGAAGAGTACTGCTGAAATGCTCTTAATTGTCAATATAACAATATAATATCAGAAACACAGCTGAGCTTTCTAAAAGCTACCATGCAAGTCTCTCATCTACAACGTACAACGCATGAGCACAAACGATACCCCTTCCAGACAGAACTGAGGTTTATACCTGCTCTTTTGACTGAGTTTCAGCACTGGGGGGCGTTTTCACAGTCACAGGGGGTTCAACGGACTCTTCATCCTCCTCGGCCTCCTCCTCACCCACCACTTCCTGCAGCTCCGCCTGGAAACGTCACGAGAGACGCCGCATTAAGACACAACGACAGGTTTTCGAGTACAGCTGCGCTACTCCTCCCTCCAGAAGAAAAGAGCACCGGCAGAGCTTGTAGAAATGACAGCGTCCGTATTACCAGCAGGTCCTCGTCGTCTTCCAGATCCCCATCGCTGTCCCCGTCGTCTATATCTTTCATGCATTCCTCAGCCAGCTTCTCTATGTGCTCCATCGGCAAGGGGGCTGCAAGGAGAAAGAGACATGCTGTCGCACCACAGCTCGCGAGGAGCGCAGGACCTCACTGTCCCAACTGTCTCATTTGTTCTTCTCGCGCTCGGGAAGCCAAAACATTTGGCACCACAACACTTCCAGGTCCCAGCC